ATATATATATATATCTACCTATATATTTATCCATGGATTGGGTATCAGACTGCCTAGGTTGAGATCCTTGGTTTAAACTATATAACCGTGAACAAAATTACTTAGTATATTTTTCTCAGTAATTTAACCTCTAATATAGATATTACATTTCCCTAAAACTGTTATGAGGGAGGTAAAATGAGGTGACTATATGTGAAATACTTGGGTTGGTGTTTAAGCAGAGGGAAATACCTAAGTAAATGTCACCTACTGATATTTTATATCACCCATGTCTTATTTTTGTTTTCAGATTTTTATTACTAAAGCTAGTCATTTACGTCTTTTAAGTAGACCTCAACCCCTACTATATATGTATACACAGAACGTATTTTGTCACTCTGCGACTATAGTTATTTTTTTTTAATTTCCCAGCAGAGATCCAGGGTTAATTAATCATATTTCCAATTGTTAACATAAAAGTAGATATAAATGATTACTTAAAGGGAAAATAACGAGCAGCAAAGAGAACTAAAATCTAGGGATTTCCTATATTTCCCCTGGAGTAAAAGCTGAAAAAGTCTTTCATCATTCCTTAGGTACAAGTAATCAGTAATTATAAAGCGTGCACCGATGTCTTAAAACATATTATTATCACCACTAAAACAGAGGATTTCCATAGAGTCATTAGCACACAATTGCACACATTAGTGAGCAACACGAAACCCCCGAGAGCATGCATTTTTCACAGTGTCCTTGAAGACAGCATACAATAAGACCACATAAAGGCACTTTCTCCCTTACCACTGCAGACAAATTCTCGCTTCTGAACCTCAGCGACATTATGGCCCCTCAGGTGGGAGGGGCCCATGCACTGAGTGTAGAGGCCCACGCGAGGCCTCTGCCGCAGCCAGTCCGACAGCCAGGCCAGGTGGCAGTCACAGTACAGGTTGTTGGAATGCAGTCGACTACATGGCGGGCAAGAGGTTTAAAGCAAAAAAAAAAAAAAAAACCACACACACACACACACAAAAAAACAAAACAGAAGTAGTTATTTCAAAACTTGGAAAAATCTTTAGTAATAATATATAGCTCTGCTTCTTAACATAGAATTAGATAAAGCTTAGCAACTTGCAATCGTATTCCTTGTCTAAAAATGTAGCTGGTTCACAACCACAGCATCGAGTCTCTCTTCTTTCACCTGGGAGCTAAGTAAATATGCGGAAACTGGAACATGACCGTGAGAATGTTTTGCCTAAGTTCATTCAAAACGGTGCAGAGAGACAAATCCAAGGCAAATCGCTCTGCAGTGCGGAAATACTGATTGCCGATTGGTGCTGGGGAACGGGCGGGTAAAGAGGTGGGTAGGGCTAGGAGGCACGTTAATAAAACTCGTGGCTCCCAGTTTGAATTATTAGTTAGTCTCTGCAGGAACTGCTTGCAAAATCTTTTTTAGGAGGTCACTTTCATTTTTTGCTCGATAAGAAAGAATAATAACACAACATAAAACACCTCTTCCACCCTGGGCAGGTGGCTCAGTTGGTTGGAGCATCATTCACTACACGGAAGGTGGCAGATTTGATCCTGGTCAGGGTGCATATGGGAGGCACCTGATGGACGTTTCTCTTTTCTCTTTCGTATCGATGTCTCTCTCTCTCTGTCTCTCTCTCTCTCTCCTTCCCTCCCTTCCTCTCTCTAAAATTGATAAACATCCGTGGGTAAGGATTAAAATAGAAAACATTTCTTTCAGGCCCTATTATGATTTCCTTCTTTTTGTACAATATTAGAAAAAGGGATCAGCAGCATCTGGCTCTTGGGGACCTGCCCTCCAAGAGTAGAAACTGGAATTAAAAGACATAAGTGGCTGGGAGTGAAGGAATTAAGTGAGCCCCCTCTGCGCTGGCAGGAATCCCACACCCGATCGTGGATCCCTTCCAAGTGGCAAATAGCACTTCACCATTAATAAAACATCAGACAAATGTATCCACTAAATTAGGTAAATGACTTCAAACTGGCTTTTATGTTTTCTCAAACTAAAGAAAAGGACATCCAAAGCTATAAATCAAAGCATCGTTCCCAGGATCATCTATGACACAGTAATACCATTTTAGCCCTTTTTAGCTGATGTGCTCAATTCTAACCCAATAACAGTAATGGATATTAAAACGGAACTCAGTCCAGAAAGATAATTGGACCATAAAAATGGAATTTTTAAGTAGCAATGATAATATAGAATAATGAAACAAGCAAAGCAAGGAAACTGAAAGTTAGATGGCTCTTTTACATTCTCCTTGAGCTTGTAGATACGGAAGAGTCTTGCATGAAAACTAGACGGCAGACCGCAGAGCAAAAAGCTACATTGTGGGAAAGGTGGGCAACTTCGGCTCAGTCTGTGTGGAAGTCATACAATGGTTCAGTTACATGGACACACATGATATAAGAAAGGAAGATAAAAATGGAAAAGCCTGATTAGGAAGACGGACTGTGGTGGGTCTCTACAAGAAAATGAGGCACACTATCAAAAATGCAGATGATGGATGAGTTTACGGTCCGGGTGGCTTTATTTTGCAAAGAAGAAAAGCTCGATCAAATTGTTTTTTAAAATTAAATTTAATGAGAAACCAATTTCATTAAATACAGTTGGAGTGAACTGGGCTGTTAGTTCGGACAGATTAGTCTCAAGCTGATAGCCCCGAGGAAACGAAATCTAGTTCTATGTGCATACTTTCAGAATTCTTTTATTTTGCTAAATCATATTCCAAGAAAATTATAAAGATGGAACATTGTATACAGAGATACACTGTAGTGAGAAAAAATTAAATTAAGATTGATATTGCCTAATTATTAAAAATCTGTCAACTCAATTGATTTTTTTAAAAAGAAAATAAACATAATGTTTCCAGTTACCAGCTGTTATAAAATAAAAAAACATATTTTGAAAAGCCAATAAAAATATTGGCTTTTCCAAAACACACTTAAGAACACATACTTTCCCAAAAAGTCCAATGCTTTGGTTATGTTTCTATTTCTCACATATTGTATATAATATAGCTTTATTAGGTCAAGGTGATTCTGAAACTGAGTTCAAATGAGATTCATCTCTGAAAATGCTTTGAATAAATATCCCCACCCTGGGCTTTAAGGATTAATTTTTCTCCAGGAGAAAAAAAAACACACATAGCTGTAGCAAATACTTTATTAGAGAACCTTTTTATTCACCTAAAATATTTTAATGTCTATCTGTAACCCCTGAAAAGATATTTTTAAATAGAAATGCTGACACAACCTTAATTACAGAAACACTAGAAGGTGATGCTGTAATTTTATGTTACAAAGAATGTTGGCGAGCTAGTTTAGCTTTATTAGGTCTGCTTGACATACAGTAATAAAAACATAAAGATTTATCATTTATCATTTCTGACAGCCAATCAAGGAGTCTTCCATTTCTTAATGAAATGTGACCTCCACAATAACTCAAAGTAAACTTCCCAGAGCACATATCATTTAAAAGAAAGCTTTCAAGTTTTCAGAATAATTTGCTCAAATATCATATCTAGAACTTGAATAAAACTGGTGTTTTCCTTGTCTACACCATAATGAACTACTTGTTCTTTGCTTACTAAAAATAGTACTCAGGGGGCATCCCTAATTGATTAGATTGACCTTTATATATGTTGCGACTACTTACAAAGTCCTAAGCTTAGGCATGTGGTTGAAACTCGCCACAGAAAGTCTGGTAATGTTGTTATTGTTGAGAGTGCTGTAGAATAAAAGAAAATAATTAAAGACTTCAGATATGAAATGTACTAATCATTCTATATATGAATGTAAAGAAAACTTGTAGCGATTATGTTTATATAAAGCAACTACTGGGTTGAGATGGCATAGAGAATGTACTATATTATAAACAAGATGACAGATAAGTTGTATATTTTAACATATCACTATGTATTCAGTTTTACCAAATATTTATTACAAACATACGGCATTAGCCACAGTATCTTCACTGTTTCTATGTTGCTTGATGCACCTGTACCTGCATGCATGTCTGTTTATGACAAACAAGCCTGAGACAGTCACAATTGGAAACATTAAGTAGTCACATTTCCTTAGAGAGGTGTCATGTGTAATTAGTGCCCGTGAGTAAATGAACATATTTGAAAGCTCCCACTGAAATCTCACAGCAGTGTCATGGAGTGAAACACAGTCCTGCTGATGAGTATTTCCTGTAGACATCAGCCACTGTTGAAATCTGAGTAATAAGAATGATATCTATATGTGCTACTTGCTTTGGGTGGGGATGAAGTGACATTCCGCCGCAGTATATTAAAAGCTTAATATATTCTAACAGTTTTTAGCTGCAGCCAGATAACCGTCCTTTTATTTTAGGGCTACGTGGTGATGATCATGGTTTCCTCAAACTAGACTAAGTAAGATGGGTGGTCATGGGAGATATGGTGAAAATAAGCGTAATTCTTTCTTGGTTCAAATTTTTCCTATTTCCCCCTAACAAGCATTGTTAGTTTGTTATTATTTCTACTGCTACTTCTCCTCACTTATTCATCCAATATTTCCTGAATGGTTCTTATTTTTATGGCAATATGGAATATCATAAAAATAAAACAGGCAGGCATAAAACCTGTCTGAAAATAGCAAATAGGCCAACCGGTGAGATGAATGACTCAAGTTACAAAAACTTAGAATTAATAAGATGAAGAAGAGAATTCGCTTTTCTCTCCCTCTCTCTCTTCGGAGAAGTCTGGTTGTGACAACAAAATGTGAAGACAGTTATTCCAGGAGTGTGTGAGGACAGTGTGGAGATGGAACGTGATTCTAGCATATAGTACAGTGTTGACTAAACAGGACAAGCTGCTGAAGGAGGCGAGAAAGATGGGATCAATAGCCCAGGTGGATACCTTTGATATTGGAGAAGGGTTGTAATTAGAGGTTGCAAATTCACTTGCCTACCGAGGCCAGGCAGGGAACAAACATGAGAGAAGCAGGCTGGATATGCGAAAATATGATGAGGGAGAGAGAAGGAGAGCAGCGCACAGCTGGGAACCAGGAGGGCCCTGGAAAACTAGCGATGCTCTTCTTTGTGGTAGAGTTAGTATCCAGCTCCCGCGGACTACTGCTCTGTGGTACTGGAAGGCTGCTGAAGAATGTGATTTTCTCAAGGAGCTCGAGTTCAAAATTTTTAGATCAAGCCTCCTAATTTTTAATTTTAAATACCGGCAACCAACTCAAATATTTCAAAAAGTCCGTGGACCAAGTCTGCTTGGGTGAAACAAGGTACATTTGTGAGGCTACGTTAGGCCAGCTGGCGGCTACAGTTGTTAAAGGTGCCATGCGGGGTGCTTGGGGGTTGAGGGATTAACTTAAACTCAGCAAAGTAGGGCACAGCAGTTACATGTCTGGAACATGCACTGACCCTCTTTGCTCTCCACTTTTGCAATGTATTGAATGGTGTAAGAACTAATCCAAGTGATCTGAATTAAGTCACATAGGGGGTAAAAAAAAACCCAGCCCACTTTATGCAGGACCTATAAAGCATTGAATTGGTTGGTTCATGCTATCTAAAAGCCTGTAGCATTTTCCATGTACTCAAGTGAAATGAGATTTCTTTTCAAACGCCATTTAAATATATCCTGATGTTTGCGCTAAAAGGTTTCACTTCTCAAAGGGATTTGCTTTCCAATGACCCCTTTTTCCGCCCTAAAAATTGCTGCTGACTTTCTATAGCGAAAATCTCCAGAGTACACACCATACTAAAATGTGACTTGGGGGATAAGATATTTTTTAAAGTAATTCAATGCAGCAGACATACATTAATTTGAAACTATAATTTCTTATGATGCCACAGAAAACAGAATTTCACTTAGTGCTGACGCTGATGGCTATCAATTTGAAGTCTTCTCTCAAAATGTTAGTTTGCATAGTGCAACTGAAGAAATAAATTATCTTAGCATTTTTATTCAGTATCTATGTCGGCAAAGCAATTTTGATACTGGTACCTGGTAATGGAGCAATACGTGGAACCAAAGAAACTCTATTTAAAGGTTAATAATAAATGCATATTAATTAGGTATGATGATATGTTTATGCTACGATCATGCAAAAGTCCATTTCTGTGTTCAACTTCAAAATTCTCTCTTTGTAATGAGAATGTATTCTTGTACAAAGGACATCTTGGTGTTGAAATACAAAATGTTAGTCTTGCTAATTATGTAGGCCCCTTTGGACTTACATCTGGACTTATTTTTTCTATTTTCTTAGTGCCAGGCATAGGATTTGGCAGAGAGTTTGATATTTAATGGATATGAATCACCGTGTTTCAATTAAATTAAATTATGTGCATTCTATAGAAAAAAAAAACCTAAAACTAGCAACTCAAGGGATATATTTCATTTCTAGTCTAGCCTCCAAAGAAAAAGTAAACATTGATCTAGATTTAATTTTCAAAGTTATTTTTGGGATAGTATCTTCATATTTAGGGGAAAAAAAGTTCTATATTTTACCAACCAAAATTCTACAATAAGGCCATGAACATACAGGTGATAAACGGCCTACTTGCTTTCAGCTACCTAAACATTCCCTTTTTGAGCTTTATTCACTCTCTCTACCTAATCTAACAAATTTTCATCAATGGCCCTGGATCACCACTCCTCTTGTTTGGCCTCAGTATATTCAAACATTCATAAATGGTTCATTGAATTAAAATTTTAAAAAATCTAAACCATTGGGAGTCTGAGTTGATGTATGTGCAAATTAACGTTCTTTCATTATTCCCACATAGTGAGATGGTCTAATCTAAAGAGCTATGGTTGGTAAAAATACGCGAAACAGAGAACAAACTTTCTGAAACCCTTTAGAAGTGAACTCCATAAATGTTTATAATAGGCAAACTTCTTTTACCTAACAAGGTATTTGGGCTTGATGAATTCCAGTGGTTTCAGTACTTCATTCAATTTTTCCTTAAATTCATCAACTAATTTCTCTAAAGGTTATATGAATTATAAAAATTTTAAAATTAACATATATGATAAAAGAATGCGTGCTTGACTTTATAAAATTTCAATATAAATGTTTAAATCCTTTTTGAAAGTAATGCATACTTTCTGTGCTGATTTTATGTATTTATTTTATTTATTTTTTTTAGCAAACAAACTCAGACCAATCTGTATCTTTTTGAGACATACATATTAGGTCCCTAAAAGAGTTTTAAATGTTAGATTTCGATTTTAATTCCATGAACCATAAAATGTTTATTACTCTCTGATGTGGTCATGATAGGAGGTCTTTTTAAAGTCACTTTTTAGATAGTTTGCTCACACAGCACACAATGAATGAGGTGATTGTGTTTTCATGAATTTACTGTTTCTGAAAGCAATTATATTAATTTACAACAAATAAGCAAATTAATGGTTACTGTATTAACTGGTAGCGGGATTTTAATGCCAAACACAGTGCTTGGCACATAGCAGATTTTCTTTCTCACATATTCTCTCTCTCTCCATGTAAATATGTAAATATTTTAAAATATACATATTATTTATATTCTTTCTGTCACTATAGAGTATTCAACATATACTCAATAAATTATATATAAATTATTCCACATCTAATAAATATTTAAACTCTTAATAACAAAGTACATTAGGAATTTTCAATTTGTCCAAAACACTCAGCAAAATTTCCACAAAATGATTGCTATCATTCATCTTCCTAGTTAGGAGCACTGACTTAGTGTCAATTTGTTTGGCTTTATCAGCTCCGCTGAATTAAATAACTTCTGTGACAATCTCTTTACATACAAAGTTTACTGGCGTTGGCTACAGTCCTGACATCAGATGAGTATCACAAAACCACAGTTGTATCCTAGTTATTCTGACTCTGAATTAGCATCAGTGAGCTTCGTATACTCAAACTGGCTCTGGAACACAATTTAAAAGGTGGCCTTATAACTACACTGTGTATGGTTTGCACTTGGAGTATTTTTCCTATAGAAAAAGTTAGGCTGTTATCAATCAAAACCAAGATGACTTCTCCTGTGGTCAGAGAACAGTATTTATTCTTATAATAGTTTACCTCGATGAACTTATTCTTACATAAGCCTTTAAAAATAATTAGCAACAACATCACATGACGCAGCTAAAAACTCTATTATTCAATTATTCACAATTAAAATCAAAATCATATAGAAAATATTGCTAAAATAAGTCATTCTGATCGAAACATTACATTTTTTTTCAGAATTACATCCTGTTCCTCAAACTTAATTTATAAAGCAATGGAATCCTTTTTTTCAGGAGGCTTTTGTGATTCCTGGATAACTTTAACCAGCTGGACTAAAAATTCAAAACTTCTTCACATTTAATTCAATTTTGGATTTCTGCATAAATTGAGTCAGGGATAAATGAGAGCATAAAAAACAGTTTATATGGGGGGGAAATGTGTACATATACTTTTAAAGCTGTAAAAAGCTGACTTTGACTGGAAAAAAAATCATAAATGGACAGGTGGCTTCCCTTTCTTTAGGAACTCTAGTTTTCATTAAAATTATTTTCATTATAATTAATCATTTAATTTAAATTAGGTTACTAAGTTGAGGATCTGTAGAAATTATTCAGTTGCTTCTAACCAATTCTGTCAGTTGTGTGTGCCCATATAGTTCAGATTTGTGAGTTGTGCTTTACTAAGTCAGTAGTGAAGACTTGAATGGACCTATTGGGCCGCTCATTAAAATTAGAATGTCAATTTCAAAAGAACCTTGCAAAAACGATGTCAAGTTATCTGGTCAAAAAGGACATTGTACAGTGAGACAATATCTTTCCATGGCATAGCAACTACAACCTATACCCACATATCAGCTACTCAGAGGTTTATTTTTTGTTGTGATTTTTCCTATACAACTGATGTTATCTTATGACAGCAATCCTGGGAATTCCCACAAATCTTGTGAATCAGAATAGTTTATCATAAGAAGAGACACGTCAAGGACATTCTGTGTGAACATTTGCGTGTCCCTCTTACATAGACCACGCTACCTGAACAAACAGCTATGCACAAGGTTTTGCACACACCCGTTTGGACTCTTCCCTGTTTTCACCATGAGTTATTAAGGCATCTCTTTACGAGACCATTTTGACCCTGGGTTTTAAGCTAACAGATAAGCTTCCACATTAGCATTAGCATCCCTGCCCCACCACCCCCACACAA